TGTCCTGGGAGTGCGTTTTCCTCCTGAGTACTCTAGGTCCTGTTTGGCATTTTCTTCCAGAACAGGCCTTATCACACTGTGTATGTCACTACGATTCTTAAATCTCTCAAACCAACCTTTGCTGGCTTTAAATTCACCAATATGAGCACTAGTTCCAGGCGTTTTTCCCTGTTCACCTGGGTGTTAGTCGACTGGTGTGGGTTGCATCCTGGGAGACAAGATTAAGGACCCCAATGGAAATAAGTTAGACAGTCTTTGATGACACTGACTTTTTTGGGTTATCCTGGGTGGCAAATCCTCTGGGGTTAATTGTTTCTTGGTATATTCTCAATAAGCCACACCAACAACAGTGCTACAGCAGCAGCAGACGATGCTACAGCAGCAGCAGACGATGCTACAGCAGCAGCAGACGATGCTACAGCAGCAGCAGACGATGCTACAGCAGCAGCAGCAGCAGCTGACAGTGCAGCAGCAGCAGCAGCAGCAGCAGCTGTACCACCAATAGTAGCGATGGTTGATTGGGGTTCATTATACAACCTGGCCAGCTCGGAGACACGCACTCCACTTTCATACTTATCAATGATCTTTTTCTTCATCTCTATAGTAATTCTCACCCTTATTGCTGTAGGGTTGGCACTAGAAGCTTTCTTGGGGCCCATGGTCACTTATTTTCCAGATAAAATCACCAAAAACACTGTAATAATACGAAATGTTACGATTGTATGCTTGGATGCTACCGCGGAGGCTGGCTGGTAAACAATGCCACCGGCGGAACATGTGAGGCTGGCTAAGGCGCACATTGGACGCGTCTCGGACGAACAGCGGTGAGCGGGTTTTTGAGCGGTATGCGAGGCAAAATTTTTGCGATTAAAGTGAGCGGTATGCGGAATAAACGGTATGTGATGCCAACGGTATGCGGGGGTCCACTGTATTTCCATGAGTCTCGTTTGTGATGACTAATGGTAATTAAGTCCTGTTGCAACCTATGCAGTGGAGCCCTTGGTAGCTGTTGCGTTTGAGGGTGCCTTTGACATTCCGTTTGATAATTCTTCATGCAATCTCTAATTTCCCTAGTAGGTTTATATTGCTGGTAGATCTTTGTGGAAGCTAATTGGCAAGTTGCATTACTGGCATCAAGTATTCGGTTGTGGAGGGAGCTGATCGCATCATCAATTGCAATGCAAGGCAAATTTTCCAAAGAAACAGTATTATCGTTACCAAGAAATGCCCTGAAGGGGTCAAATCCTAGGGTGCTTAGATTGGGTTTAGGAGGTAGAGGTATTCTAAATGGAGAAGCATGTAGTTTTATTATAACAGGGATATGGTTAGGTCCTACGTTCCCACCAGGAGAGAGACAGCAATGGAAGAGGTCACAGTCTCTGCTGGTCAAGACTATATCTGGTGTTCCTGGATGAGGACCGACATACGTCTTAAAGAAACAGATTTCTGGCTGTCATGATATTAAATAATTGATTTCCTTTCAAGTCACCCAACGGATTACCAGCTCCGCAGTTAAAGAGTGCAGGGTGATGGGCGTTAAAATCTCCAGCCAGAATTGTAGGAATTTTTCTGCTTTACCCTTTCAGGGTCCAGAGGCCAAATTTCAAAGTGCACACTTGGGTCCAAGAATTTAAAAAAAAAAAATTATTTTTTCTTATGAAATGGTAGAGAATCTTTTTTCTGAAGGTAATAAAACAAAAAGTACGAAATTTTATGGAAAATTTACGAAATTATGCTCTCGCGAATTTTGATGTCAGCGATATTTATGAACGGCGATTTTGCCGACTTTGACTCCCGTTTAGGCCAATTACATTATTCCAGTCAACCAAATTCTTAGCTGTTTCACTAGTATTACTTCTATTCTATCGATTGAGCACAAGAAATCTTCCAGTCAACTGTTTCAACTACAAAATAAAGTGATCAGAAATTGGTTATGTGGCCAATTTAACACAATGTTCAGAATATTCCAGTTTTAAAATATTGTCCAGAATAAACAATGCAGGCATTCCTGGCACTAAACTAACATTTCCTCTGTTTATTAGTTATGTTTTCAGGCTTTACAAATGAGTTCCATTTTTTTTTTTTATTCACATAATGAATTGTTATTCAAACCAAAAAATAGAAGATTTACTGTTATGCAATATTGTAATAATTGTAAAAATATCATAACCACATTTGTGAACGTATATTAGACCCACCAGCTGGCATGTATTAGACGTGTGAGATCGTTTGTTTACTCTTGAACATCAGCAAAAATTTAACATTTCCACTACTTTGAGCTCAGTTTCAAACCATTTCCAGTACTAAAACCAATCAAAATCATCTCTATTTCTGTAATATATCTTCCATTCTATCAAATGAGACCAAGAAATTGCAAATACAACTATAAAAAAAACATATGAAAAACCACTGCAAAGTCACTGTTTTAATCGAAAATCACGGTCTCAGTTTTTTCTGTCATTATACACTGTGTTCTGCAGGATTTGTTTTATGTGGTGCACACACACCACATACATGTATTCTCTCATATCTAGGCCCAAATTTACCACTCACAGCTTATCAGAGTGAGCTGAGCTCATGGCGTAGATCTTCGGTTTGGACCCTGAACATAAAGCCGTAGATCTATGGCACGGACCCTGAAAGGGTTAATATTCGATGTAGGGGAACGAACTCTATATAGGTTGTCTCGGAGGAAAATATCCAGTTCCTATCAGTAGTTGACCATAAGATGTCGTCAGCTCAATTGCAATAATGTTATCTTCGTCAACGTGAACATTTTGAAATGCATATCCTAATTTAACTAGGATGGCCATGCCACTATGGGGTTCTTTCGATTTCTCCACAGTAGAGTAACCACATAATTTGATGTGTTGATCAACTCCCGCAGCTGTCTTATTGAGGAGGATAATGTCAGGGTTGTAAGTGTGTAGTTCAACTTCGAGGAGATACCGGTTATTAAAGAAATGTTGAGCATTAAGTTGGAAAATTGTTATCCCCATTATTTCTTGCACTTGCGTGTTTACTGCGGACAGAGGGTGGATGTCTGTAAGCAACATCACAATTGGAATACACACACACACACACACACACAACACTACTCGACTCATCAAGGGGAAGAGTGTAATTCTGAGTAGTTGCTTGCATACTGACCATGTCTCCATCCTCACTGGTGGTGGTAATATCAACAGAAGCATTAGTGTCATCATCAGATAACTGAGGTGTGATATTCCCAGTTACAGGAAGCAGAGGCACACGAGTGTCAAAAGGAGACCGTGGGGGCTACAAGGGAAAATTAGGTAGGCCAGGCAAAGTACCCTGGGAGAGTACTTGTTCCATAGGATCAGCTGCAATAGCAGAAGGATAAGCACCAATATCAGGGGCAAGGTTAGGGGCCGGTATTAACTCATTGGGCTGAGGTGAGCTGACAACTGGGTTATTCGAGGTGGTTGAGCCCTGTATGAGAGATGAAGTAGGCATATTTGTAGGGGTAGAGGAGGGCACATACTTTCTATCTTGAGGGGGCTGGGCCATAATTAACTTCACATTACCTGGGATTTGAATGGGACTTCTCATTAGCCTTTTACAAATCATTGAAAACATTAGAACAGAGTTGAATATCACTACCTGCTATGTCCTTGGCCAACATGTACATTAATTGAGCTCTCGTCATATCCCCGGCTGAGAACCCAGGAGACATGGGGAGTGAGAAAGAACCTTGTGCTTGTGTTTGTTGTAGGTGGGGATTAGGGGGAGGGTGGGGCACTACAGGCGGGGCAGAAGTCCAAACATTGGAACTGGTAGAGGAGGCCTGAGAAGTCTCACCAGATCCAGGTAGAGCCGGGAATGAATCCTGGAACATTGTTGGAGGTGCCTGGGGAGGGGTTTTTGTAGAATTTGAGTTTCTTGGCCTCTAGAATTTTCTGCATTGCAATTTTCCTATCAGGACAGATAGGGAAAACAGCATGGACACACTTGGGTTTTGTTTTGTTATGGCAGTCTTGAAAAGAATGCTCACCAGAGCCTATGCTTCAAATTGTTGATTGGCTACTGCATTTATTGGTGGTATGGCCAAATGCATAACATTTGAAACATTGTGTAACACTGACAAACTGTTCAAGAGAGATTTGGTCAGGTGCACATCTGGTGCCAAAACATTTGAAACCTCGTTGACATATGAGTTTGGCTTCTTCAGGTGTCTCTGTGTATAACTTCAATGTTAACTATTTGCTGGCAGGTTTAGAGAATTTATATGCATGGAGAACCTTAAATTCAGAATTCTCCTGATTAAGTTCTGCAATAAGTTCCTCCACAGAGCTGTCTCTCTTGAAGCTGTTAATTCTCACCACAAAGACAGTTCGTTGGGCTTGATAGCTATCAGGTGGAATGGGGATGATACCCAAATTCTGCAATTTATCAAGAACTTCATGCTTAAGCAGGTGAAGTAACTCCTCTTTAGAGGAGAGTAGTAGTACTGCCCCTGAGTGGGTTTGAAAAACATCCACTGGTGCAACAGTTGAATTTGAACAAATACATTCAAGAATTTCCTTCTTAGACTTTTGATTGTCAACGACGTGTATTTGTACTCGTGTTCGTGCCATGATGCCCAGGAAGGTACATCTGACACAGATAAGTTGCTTTAACAAGAAAGACTTTCTTTGGTGGTAGCCCTAAACATCCTAAGTCGGCTAACTTATGAAGGTCAGCCCCTAAGATAGCCTACCCTTGAGGAGTGAGAGGGACAGGGCCCAAGGCAAAGATCGGCCGGATTTTAAAAAAACCACACGGGGTACCAGATGGTTAAAATGCCTTGTGTTAACTCACCAAAGGCAAAGTTGCCGAAAAAGAAGAGGATAGGAAAGGCAGAAGGATAGCAGTGTAAGCAGTGTTAGTGTGTGGGGCCAGTGTAGATGTTTGGGTGATGGGAGGAAGGGGAAGGATGAGGGGATGGGGAAGAGAGGGGTGAAGAAGCAAGCAAGTCACTGCCTTACCCTCTTGAAGGGATGGTGCTCAAAGTGAGTGCAAGCAAGTTTCCTCTCAGCTCTAGTCGAGAAATACTCAGGATAACCCAAGAAAAAACTCGAGGCACAGTGCTCACAGCAGGAACAAAGATGTCTTCTCTCAACGGCGGCTGCTGGACGACTGTCTGAATGCATGTATTTCCAGGTTCCCTATCTTATCAACATTCAAGTTTCTCAAAATATTCCTTCCATCTTCCCGATACCTCTAACTCTCTATCTAACAACTCACCTCTCCTATTTTTAACTGTCAAATCCATTTGTTTCCTAGACTTTCTCAGCTTATTAGTCTCCAAAACTTTTTCTTATTCTCAACAAAATTTGTTGGTAGAATTTCACCCACTCTCATTTGCTCTCCTTTTACATTCCTTCACCACTCTTTTTCTCTCCATTTACTCCTCCCTCCTTGTATCACTTCTACTTTGTCAAAACCTCTCATATGCTAATTTTTACCTCATTCCACCAATTGCTCTTCCCTCCTGCACCCACTTTCCTGTAACCACAAACTACTTCTGAACACACTAACAGTACATTCTTAACCCTTTCAGGGTCCAGAGGCCAAATTTCAAAGTGTGCACCAGTGTCCAAGAATTTTCGAAAAATAATTTTGTTATTTTTTCTTATGAAATAGTAGAGAATCTTTTTCTGAAGTTAATGAAACAAAAAGTACGAAATTTGATGGAAAATTTACGAAATTATGCTCTTGCGAATTTTGATGTGTCAGCAATATTTATGAATCGGTGATTTTGCCGACTTTGACTCCCATTTTAGGCCAATTACATTATTCCAGTCTACCAAATTCTTAGCTATTTCACTAGTATTACTTCAATTCTATCGATTGAGCACAAGAATTCGCCAAGTCAACTGTTTCAACTACAAAATAAAGTGATCGGAAATTGGTAATTTGGCCAATTTAATGCAAAGTTCAAAATACTCCAATTTCAAAATAGGGTCCAGAGTAAACAATGCAGGCATTCCTGGCACTAAACCAACATTTCCTCTGTTCATTAGTTACATTTTCAGGCTTTACTAATGAATTCCATTTTGATTTTTTATTTACATAATGAATTTTTATTCATAATAAAATATAGAAGAATTACTGTTATGCAATATTGTAATAATTGTATAAATAATATCACCACATTTGTGAACATATATTAGACCCACCAGCAGGTGTGTATTAGACGTGTGAGGTCATTTGTTTACTCTTGAATATCAGCAAAAATTTAACATTTCCGCTACCTTGAGCTCAGTTTCAAGCCATTTCCAGTACTAAAAAATCATCTCTATTTCTGTAATATATCTTCCATTCTATCATATGAGATCAAGAAATCGCAAATACAACTATAAAAAAACATGAAAAACCACTGCAAAGTCACTGTTTTAATCGAAAATTACGGTCTCAGTTTTTTTTTCTCGTTATGCACTTTGTGCTGCAGGGTTTGTGTTATGTGGTGCACACATACCACATAGATGTATTCTCTCATATCTAGTCCAAAATTTACTGCTCACAGCTTATCAGAGTGAGCTGAGCTCATGACGTAGATCTATGGTTTGGACCCTCAACGTAAAGCCGTAGATATACGGCACGGATCCTCAAAAGGTTAAATCTACCCCATTCCTCTTCAGCCTCATTGCTTATACTCTCACTAGCCCATCTTTCTTCCAATAGTTTTTTTTTTTTTCCAATGAACCCGCTGTATCCCAGCGAGGCAGGGTGACCTAAAAAGAAAAACAAGTTTTTTGTTTTTTTCTGAATTTAGTAATTTTTCAGGAGAAGGGGTTATTAGCCCCTTGCTCCCCGGCATTTTAGTTGCCTCTTACGACACTCATGGCTTACGAAAGAAGAATTCTTTTCCATTTCTCCATGGAGATGAGAGAAAATAAAGAAAACAAGAACTGTTAAGAAAACAGAAGAAACCCCAGATGGGTGTGTAAATATATAAGTGTGCACATTCATGTGTAGTGTGACCAAAGTGTAAGTAGAAGTAGCAAGATGTATCTGTTATCCCACACATATATAAGACAGAAAAAGATGCCAGCAATCCTACCATTATGTGAAACAATTGCAGGTTTCCATTTCACACTCACTTGGCAGGATGGTAATACCTCCCTGAGTGATTGCTGTCTACCAACCCACTAACTAGGAATAGTTGTATCTTACCCTAACTGCCTCCTCCTCTAGTTTATAAACCTTCGCCTTTCTCTTACTTGCTGATTCCATTCTCCTTGTATTCCATCTACCTTTTACTCTCACTGTAGCTACAACTAAAAAATTATCTGATATATCTGTGGCCCCTTTATGAACGTACACATCCTGAAGTCTACCCATTAATCTTTTATCTACCAATATGTATATAGTCCAACAAACTACTGTCATTACACCCTATATCATATTCTGTATACTTATCCCTTTTTTTTTTCTTTAAGATATGCATTACCTATTACCAAACTCCTTTCTATACCAAGTTCAATCAAAGGCCCCCCATTATCTTATTAATATATGGATGTAATGTGCAGTACAGAACTAAAAATGATTGTTTATTTTTTTCAGTGTTTGAAGAGCCTGAAGATCCCACGAATCGTAGCTTCTTCAGTGAAATAATCTCCTCCATTAGTGATGTAAAGTTCTCAAACAGCGGTCGCTACATGATTTCACGGGACTATCTCTCGGTTAAAGTATGGGATCTACACATGGAGACCAAGCCTATAGAAACTTATCCAGTAAGAAAATATATTTTTTTTAAATTTTATTTTTCTGAGAATAAGTTGTTTATTCTCATATGTGCTCTATTTTTCAATATCACAGGTGTAATGCTGGCTGATTATTATATTCTAGTTTTAATTTTTTTTACAGGTTCATGAATATCTTCGCTCGAAGCTGTGTTCACTATATGAAAATGATTGTATATTTGATAAATTTGAATGCTGTTGGAGTGGGAATGATTCTGCCATCATGACAGGCTCTTACAATAACTTCTTTCGCATGTTTGATAGAACATCCAAACGAGATGTCACACTAGAGGCCTCAAGGGAAACGGCTAAACCTAGATATTTACTAAAACCAAGAAAGGTAAGTTGAATAATTGTTTGGTAGTTTCATGTATATAATACTTGCAAAATTTACTTTATTATTAAGAAAATGTGATATGAAAAGCCGGTTGCAAATTAACTCATAATCTGGGTGAGGTCTAAATTTCACAATATTTATTGATAAAGATTTTATTTCTTCACAATGTGGGATTATAATTTTGATTTGTTAGGTACAAAGAAAGCCATTATCATGCCGGGGCATTTTGGGTAGACTAAACCTAATTATACAGACTACTTAATACTAGAGATATAGAAAGTGGTAAACTTTTATTATATATCTTTTTTCTTGTTACAGCAGAGGTAGCGAGTAGTTTATAGCAATTGAATTTGTAGTTGAGATGAAGTACAGCCTCTCCTCACTTACCGACGTCTCAGACTTATGACAGGCTCTCTGACCAGTATTTATACCTAAATAATGTACAGTGGTCCCTCGTTTGTCGTAGTTAATCCGTTCCTGGAGCTGCTACTATTAATGAAATCTATGATTTGCGAATCAATTTTTCCCATAAGAAATAATGCAAATACAATTAATCTGTTCCTGACACCCAGAAGTATTAAAACAAAAAAAATTTTTACATGAAATATACATGTAGTACATAAACAGTACAATGGGAAATGATGAATGAAACATTAACAGCATAACACTTACCTTCATTGGAGATTCTTCTTAGTGTAAGGAAGACTGGAGGAGGAGAGAGAGATTGGATTGTTTATAGTTTGGAAGGGGAATCCCCTTCCAGCAACACCTCAGGTACCAATTGCTTTTCCGGGGTTGCTTCTCTTCTCTGTTTCTTAATGCCACTAGGATCACCTTGAGAGTCACTGGAGTCCTGTCTCACAAAATAACTGTGCAGAGAGCTTTGTTTCTGGCGTCTCTTTAAAACTTCCCTAAAATGGGCCAAGACTTTGTCACTGTACATGTTGCCACACTGGCTTGCAACAACCTTGTCAGGTGATGTTTCTCCATAAAGCTTTCCATCTTAACCCCACATAGCAAAAATCTCTTAAATTTCTGAAGAAGGCACCATCTTCCAACTCTCTTCCTCCTCCTCTGCAGCAAGATTCTGAGCTGCGATCTGTTGCTGTTCCTGCTGAAGCTCTTGCAGCTCCTCAGTGGTGAGCTCTTCGTTGTGGTCTTCCACCAATTCTTCCACATCCTCCAAACTCGCATCCAACCCCATGGAACTCCCCAGTGCCACAATTGATTTTACAACAGACATAGGCTCATCAGGGTCAGTCCCAAACCCTTCAAAATCCCTCTTGTTGACACAATCTGGCCACAATTTTCTCCAGGCAGAGTTCAAAGTCATGGTAGCCACTCCCTCCCAAGCCATACCTATAAGGGTTATGCAATGGAGGATGCTGAAGTGTTCTCTCCAAAATTCCCTTAGGGTCAAGTGAGTGTCTGTGGTCACAGTCAAGCACCTGTGAAATAATTGCTTTGGTGTAGAGTTTTTTAAAGTTTGCAATGACCTGCTGGTCCATGGGCTGGAGGAGAGGAGTGGTATTCAGGGGCAAGAACTTTACTGTGATGAACCCAAACTCCCCGAAAATTAGGTCATCCAAGTTTGGAGGATAAGCAGGTGCATTGTCCATTAGTAGCAGGCACTTGAGATCCAATTTCTTTTCCAGGAGGTAATTCTTCACACTAGGGCCAAACACTTCATTGAACCACTCGACGAAAATTTCCCTCGTGACCCATGCCTTACTATTAGATTTCCAAAACACACACAATTTACTCTTCATAACATTGTTTTTCCTGAACACACTGGGATTTTCAGAATGGTACACTAGTAATGGCTTCACTTTGAAATCCCCACTAGCATTAGCACAGAACATTAGCATCAGCCTGTCTTTCATAGGCTTGTGTCCTGGCATTGCCTTTTCCTCCTGTGTAATGAATGTCCTCTTTGGCATTTTCTTCCAAAAGAGGCCTGTTTTGTCACAGTTAAACACTTGTTCAGGTTTCAGTCCTTCAGCCTCTATGTATGTACTCCTGGAATTCATGCACATATTTTTCAGCCGTCTTGTGGTCCGAACTGGCAGCTTCACCATGCCTTACCACACTGTGTATGCCAGTACGGTTCTTAAATCTCTCAAACCAACCTTTGCTGGCCTTAAATTCACTCACATCACCACTATTTTCAGGCAATTTCTTTACCAGATCGTTGTGCAACTGCCTAGCCTTTTCACAAATAATCAAAGTCATAAGATTATCTCCTGCTAATTGTTTCTCATTTATCCACACCAATAATAACTTCTCAACCTCTTCGAGTACTGGTGATCAGCATAGTTACCCCCTTTGCAACAACAGTGTCCTTGATTTCCTTTTTCTTGGCCACTACAGAACATATGGTTGTGTAGGGTTTCTTATACATCCTGGCCAGTTCGGCCTCATGGGTACCACTTTCATATTGTTCAATGATGTTTTTCTTAAATTCAATTGTATTTATCACCTTCTTTACCACAGGCTTGGCACTAGGAGCTTTCTTTGGAGCCACGGTAGCTTATTTAGTATTTGCAAGCACTAAAATAAATGGAATATTATGAAATATTTCGCTGGAGCACGTGAGTTTTTATGAGGATAGTGAGGCTCAGGTTAGGGTGTGTAGAAGAGAGGGAGACTGGGGGTGTGTGGTCAGTGTGCGCAGTAGAAAAAAAATCTGTGACCCAGTGGCGCATTGTGGGAACGCCATGTTAGTAGACCTTGTTCACCATGCCTCGCAGTAAGAAGCTCCTCACTCCTCGGCGAATTGGGACACTTTTGTTCCCCAGTGACAGTTCTAATACAGATGGAAGTGCCAGTGAAGATGAGTTTCAAGGTTTTGGTGAGGTTTTGACCGAAACTAATGACCATAATATCGGTAATAGTGAGGAAAACCCAGACGACCCTCAGCCTTCCACCTCTGCTGCTGGGCTGTCTTGTTCACGTTCAGTTGTACCAGAATCAAAGAGGAAACTCCTATTTTCCCAAATCCTGGACTCAGATGTGAGCATTGGAGATGATAGTGATAGTGATTATGAACTACAAGCTCTTGAAACCAGTTCCAATAGTGAAAGTGAAGTGGAATATTCTCCAGTGAAGCGTCAGTATATACGATGATATATGCATTCTGGTAGTGTGCCATATGCTATTCCAAGGGGAAAGAGTACATCTCGGAGTACATCCCGTTGCTGTACAACAGGAACAGACAGTGAAAATGATGATGATAGTGTTGCAATTGGGATGGAAAATGTGCAGGGTGGTGGTGGTGGTGGTGCCGCCAGACGTGACGCACCAGCAGTGGGCCATGCTGCCACCCACGCTGCCACCCATGCCACTGCCTCAGCTCATCTACAACAAAGCCCACCATTCCCCACCCACCCACCCACCACACCAGCCTCCACAACCACAACAACCATAACCACCTGTCATTGTCCAGTACCCACCAGCAGACCGCACCTGGGATTGGCAGGAAGCTGTCAATTTTGTTCCAAATCCCCACCAGTTTGATGAAAGCCAAAGTGAAATACGGCCATGTTGTACACTGGGGAACAATGCCACTGAACTGGAAAGTTTCGAGTTATTCTTTGACGACCCCCTGATGGAAATTGTCAGGGAAAGCAACAGATACTACGAGTACACCATGGCAAACACAATACTTTCACCAAGCTCACGGCTACACAGGTGGAAGGAGACAACTGTGGCTGAGATATATCTTTTCTTTGCCACAATAATGCTTATGCCACATGTGTATAAGCACAGTTTGACATCATACTGGTCAACAGACTGCCTGATTGCAACCCCAGGTTTCAGTGATATAATGGGAGTGAATCGATTTGTGCTACTGTTACGTATGCTTCACTTCGCAGACAAAACCAGGCCTGACAGAAACGACAGGTTATATAAGATTAGGAATGTGTTTCTGTATCTGAAAGAGAAATTCAATATGTATTTTTATCCCTTCAGGAAGCTTGTAATTGACGAGTCTTTGATTCTGTTCAAAGGAAGACTCTCTTTCAAGCAGTACATACCAAGCAAGAGGAAATGCTTTGGTATAAAGTTTTGTGCTTTGTGATTGCTACAGTGGTCTTGTATTGGATATTATTGTGTACACTGGAAGTTATACATTGCAAAATACCAGGAAGTTATTGGGCATCTCTGGTGATGTGGTTAGAACAATGATGGAACCATACCTTGGTAAGGGGTATATATTATATACTGATAACTGGTACACAAGCCCCTCACTCAGTGATTTTTTGTGAGTGAACATGACAGATGTGTGTGGCACAGTGCGTGCAAATCGTAAACATATGCCCAGGTTTGACGCTGGCACTCGTAGAGGTGAGGTGCAGACGTTTGCTGCCAGTGACATCATGGCATTATGGTGGCATGACAAACAAGATGTCACACTGTTGTCTTCAGTTCACCCTAATGAAATGGCAGACACTGGCAGGCAGCATAGAGAGAGCAATGAACCCATTCTAAAACCTGCAGCTGTGATTGATTACACCTTCAATATGCATTCAGTGGACAAATGTGACATGCAGATTGGGTTTGCTGATTGTGTTCGCAAGAGTTATAAGTGGTACATAAAACTCTTTTTCCATCTTCTGAACATTTCCATGCTCATTGCTTATAATATGTATAAGATGAGGACCAGAAACAAACCATCATATGCCGAATTTTGTTTGTCTGTCATCAGACAAATAGTATTCAAGTATCAAGGAACAACACCTGCAATAGACCGCCCACTAAATTATCAACAACTACCTTCTCGTCTAAAGCATGGTGATCACTTCCTAATACAACTGCCTGCTACTGCTTTCAAGAAAAAGGCTCAGAACGCCCACAACAACACAGAGACACTCGTTTTATGTGTGAGGAATGTAGAACACCACTGTGCATGACACCATGTTTCCAAGACTTCCACAGGCTGCAGAACTTCTAGAAACATTCCCTGTGACTATATGTGTATATAAAATATAGAAAAATAGTAA